TACAAGTCCACATTCACTGATGAAGCAACATTGGAAAAAATCCATACAATGCTGCCACTCATTGATCCGAAATTGGTTCTTTGTAATGAAGCTACTGTTAAACAGCATATGGAAGGTGTCGCTCAGTATCTGAATTACAAGATTGTGAAGGAAATGATGGTGCTTCTTTTGGCGGGAGAAGCGTATTCAGATGCAGCAGATCGTGCAGTCAATAACTCCTGGCACGATCTATCAAAATTTTACCGTTTTGGCATAGCCCGTATTTGGTTGGGGCTTTACTTTCAGACCGGAAGTATCTCTCTCCACCAGCGAGGAAATCATGCGAAGAGGACATCAATCCTTAGTGATCCTTTTGTGAAAGAGAAATGCGTCAAGAAAACATCAACATCCCAGTACGACTTGGACATTCATGAGGACGATCTATCAAGATATCTTGCTGAACCTGTTCGAGTACGCCATCGAGGAGAGCAAAATGTCCCAATGACGTACTGGAATTTTTTTAGAAAGTATTTATCCAAATCTTGCTAAAATGGCAAACAGATTCCTTTCCCCGCCTGCTTCACCTACTTCTTGCGAAAGGTTATTTAGTACTCGTAAGAATTTTCTTACACCAACTAGATCTCAACTAACTGCTGAGAGTCTTAAAGAAAGCGTTCTTCTTCACCATTGGCTTTAAGACAATACTCACTAATACCTTTTTCTTTTTCTTTGTCTTTTTTTTGTTATAATTTTTATTTTATTCTTTTTTTTTTACATCTTATTTACTAACTTTTTTCTTTTTCTCAATCAATAATTTATTCTATCCCTTTTTATTTTCTTTCATCACGTGTTTTTTTTGTAGATTTTCATTTACAGTAGTCGCTCGATTTAAGGGTATTTTCTATTTAAGGGTGGATTTTGGAAAATCAGCTTCCGTCCCCCGCATTTACACCACTAAACCAGTATTCTATTTAAGGGTGAGATTCCAATTCCACATACCCTTAAATCGAACGATTTGACAATGTATTTTTGACTTTTTTCTAACTTTTTGACCATATTTTTTGAATGTCCGAAAAAAAATAAGTATTTCGCAGTAATGATCATATTTCACGGTTAAAAATCGCTTTGTGACGTATGTTTAAAATAGTCACGCTTTTCGATTTAAGGGTATTTTCTATTTATGGGTGAGATTTCCGAAATTTTTGCTCACCCTTAAATCGAGCGACTACTGTAACAGAGTATGTTACATTTTATTATTTAAAGAAAATTTATTTATGAAAGAATTGAGCAAAAAAGAAAATTTGTGAAAAAAAAATAGATGTTTTTGTGGAGTTTTTAAAAAAAAAGGAATATGACTTGTTTACAAGAGGTCTTCATGATTTCTTTTTCTGCTGTTGGCATCAGAAATGATGATAAATCATCATTCGCCAACACAGAAAAATACTGCGCTGACGCTGACAAATCAACATTTGCCAGGAAGCCATTTAGCCAATCTTGGCTTGTTTCTGCTTCGGGTTCATCAGATCTTTGGCTAAACGAGTGCTGGGTTTGCTCTGTAGCCTGTTCCAAAAAACCTATGCTCATCATATTAATGCTGCTATTTTCCTCTCCTTCCTCGCTCGTCAGGTCAATAGCCTTAAAGTTGTTGGACACACCGGACTGGATAGGCTTTGGAATCTGATAAACGAATATTAGAAATCGTATTGTAGATTATTATGTCTAAAAAGATGTACTTACTTGAGCAACGTTGTCTTGCAAAACCGAAAAAATTACTTTTCGTGTCAAACAGCTGTTCTTGGAAAAATGCATTGGTAATAGCGGGTTAGCTGCATCTACTGGAGATACCAGTTCAGCAGATGAGCTTGGGAGCCCACTACTGCCAGCACGCTTATTCCAAAAAAACGAGATACATTCTAAAAGTTTGGTTACCTCGCTCTTGAAATTTTCATCCAAGGAAGTCCAGGTGAACCCCGTGCTAAGCTTGTCACCAAAATACGCTACAAGAAAGTGCTTGCACAGGGTTCGCGTGTTGTGGTAGGCACTTTCAGATTTATCAGCTAAAACTCCATTGTCCCAACTTTGCGACAGGCCTGCCAAGTAAGTTTTCATTGTGTCTGTATATGCAACTGTTCTTCTTTCGGTATTCAAGCTGATGTTTCCTGAACCAAAGGGGATTATCCGAACATCTGTTTGACCTACCAGATTATTGGCCCTATAGTACTTAATGATCTTGTACATTTGTTCTTGAAGGGCCTCTTCGTACCATGACGCAAAATATTAGTATCAAAAGTCTATCACAAAACCGAGAACCATTAAAATATTTTACCTGTCGATACATCAGTGTAGGGCAAACCAATAGGTGCATTACTGTTAGTTCTTTGGAGCTTCTTTTTATGAGTACAACAGCTACAATGTCCACCAGGTTGCAAGTAAATATGGTTCTCGATGGCTGCAGGTATACCGTGAAATCCACGATTTACATCCTCAGTCAACTGCTCGATCTTTTTTTCCATGGCGTTGGCATATTGGGCAAACTTCGTTTCCCACTTTGTATCGATGTTTCTAATTGCTTCGGTATAGAGACGTAAAAAATCAGCATTTGATAATACAGGGTTTCTTAGGTCCATTGTCAATAAATAAATGAGAAATGGTTAAAAATAATATAAAATCAGAGTTATATCACGTATTTATATCTATTTCAGTTGTGTACCTTTGATTTGAATGGTGAAGTGGCAAATGGCTTTTACACACCAATCACCATGCTTGATTTTTTTTTCGTGCCTTTTTTGGAATATTTTTGGTGGCGCAGACAAAATAATCTATGAATAGATGTCCAAAGATTTTTGAAATTCGAAAGCCAGACGATTCTTGGCAACTTTGACATGTAAGCAATTTTAAGTGGTTTTGCCTGATATAATTGACTAATAAGGTATTAATCCTAGAAAAGGGAGCATTCAGGATAAGTATAAATAATCAAGGAAAAAATTTTACTTAACTTACTTTAAATAACTCAATCTTTAAAAACCATGGTGTTCCCTAACCGAATCCAAAAACACCTCAATGCTCTAAGAGTCGCTAAAAGGGGTATGGCCGATAGTTTAATTAGTCACATGTCTGCTATCCCAACCCCTGTTACCGATGTGAATCAGAGTCTCATTACCAATTTACAGGAAGTCGATAGTGTGGAAGGCGATAATGAGCAAGGCAATGTGGAGATGGGTACGTTTGATATCCTTTCCTTGGCTAAAATCAGGCTCACCAATGTCCCAATCGAAACAGAACAAGCAAGACGCGTTCGTGAAGAATTAGAGCAAGACCGCTTTTTGGACGGTGAAAGGTCGGATGATGATTTCGAGGACATCAATAATGTCGGAGAAATTGAGTTGATGTTTGCTTCTACAGCAGAGACGTCATCTATAGTTGAAGAAAGCACATGCGAAGGTTAGTAACGATCAATGGCATTTTTAAATTTAAAGCTTACATTGTACTCTTCATAATAGCCCAAGTATGTCAAGACTCTAAAATCAAGGATATAGTTTTTTCCTACCCATCCTTTTGACGAGGATGAGACCGACAGTGCTCAATTTATTCATAGTTGCATAAAGACAAACATGACAGTACAGTCGGTGAGAGAGATAAAAAGATTGTTATAGCTATTCACAAACAAGGACAGGGCGAGTAGGTTACTAAAAAGAAACGATCAGTTTTAATTATGAAGATGCTAATTTGACTTCCCTTTTCCCAGAAAACATCCAAAAAAAGAAGTTCTCCGCCCTCGAAGGGTGTCTTGCCTTGATCAAAAAACGAATCCCACTAGCTTTTGTTCGTACGCATAAAATCTGTCCCAGCAAGGGTTGTTGTCTTTTTGATCCTATCGCTGATGAAAATATGACTGCGTGTCCTCAATGTGGCGCTATAAGACGCTCGAGTTCTGTAGTCAAAATGGTCGACATCGGTGACCATCTTGCTCGTATGCTGACGTGTGATGATTTTCGAAAGTAGGTGGAGCAATACCGAGAGGTTATTGATGCTATCGAGGAAGGCGATTTTTATACCGACTTTTTCTCTGGTTTTGCTTTTAAGGAGCTCCAAGCAAAAGGGCTTATCGCAGGTAAACATGACCTGGCCATTGTTCTCTGCATAGAGGGTTTCACGTCTAAAGTTTCACGACAAAGTATGGTAATGATACATGTTATCATCCCTAGTATCGATCCATCTATTAGGTAAGGCTTCACACCTATACAATATAAATCGAGCATACCAGCTCGCTAATCCAAACAACAGATACACAAATGACTATACCTTCCAAATAGCCATTTTATACTGTGATACTAAAACAAATTTTCAGTCCTACCTCCGTCCCATTATTAGAAGCCTTGATTAACTAAGCAAACAGCGACTTGTTGTCAAGCGTAATGGTGAACATATTGCTACGTCTAACGTATTCTGTTTCGGGGTTATTGCGGACGGTGATGAAATCAACCAACGGCTGTTGATGTTTGGTGGCCATACAGGGTTTCATGGATGTAGATTTTGTTTGGGTATGTGTTGAAGTCCGATGTTTACGATATACGGAACTAACGCGTCTCCTTTATCCAATTAGTGGAAGGTGTTCATCCTGTTGAAGAAGAAAAAAGCGGCATGTATTTTATCAAAAGGAATGCTCCTATTAGAAGCAAAGAATCTCTGTTACATGTAAGTTCTCGCGTTTTAAATTTTTTTCTACGTTGTACTTAAATCTTACTGTATCTCAAAGCCCGATCCTCTTAAAACATATGGAATAAAAAAGGCATCTCCTTTTGGGCCGTTCCCAAGCAAACTTTATTTTCAAAAGCAAATCGCTCAATTTGTAATAAAGTTTGGTCCCCCCTATATATATACTAGCGTATGACATCATATTGGAAATTTTCAAGTTTACTATCCTCAGTTTCCCTTTGACTTTACGTTATATTTTTTTTTATTTCATTTTTTTTGCTTTTGCTTAAATACAAATTTTATAATGCTTACACCTACGCAAACAAATACCTTGATCGCCATTTTGACCTTACGCAAACAAATGAAAGATATAAGAACACGACAACAACAAATAGTTTCGATGTTTTGGCAGCAAAGTCAGTAACGAGACAACATAATCCAAGAGGGTTATCTCTATCACTCAACGTATTTTTTCGACATTCCTTCTTTCTTCGAGGCTTTGCCCTTTCTCATTACTGGTAGACAGACCACCTGTACGGAGACATCTGCGGAGGGCGTAACGTTTACCAACTACCGTTACTGGGCAATAACCCATCCACATTTACTCGACGACAATAATCCACGTACCAGTTTTCGAGCCATGTACAGAATGGATCGCACGTCCTTTGAAAGGCTTGTTAATGATCTGAGCAGCCACCCTGCTTTTGAACTAAGAGCACACAACGCTTTGCCAGTTTACGTACAAGTATCCTGTGCTATATGGCGCTTGGCTAACTGTCATCTTGGATATAGAACTTCTCACATGGCTTGGGGTGTTTCACATGGAAGTTACATGAATTTTTTTAGATGGTTTTTAACAGCTGTTGAAGATGTTTATGGCGATTTGATCAGCTGGCCCTTGGAAAGTGACAGAGTCAATGCTATTCAAAATGGCTTTGAGTGGCCACATGGTAATAGACCTGGAGCTATCCGTCGTTTGCCTAACGTCATAGGTGCCTTGGATGGTAAAAATGTTGTGATTGAAGCTAGAAAGCATCACAAGGAACAGTCGAGAGATAGAAAGGGAAATTTTTCTATGAAATTGACGGCTATCTGCGACGATAGAGGGCGTTTTACGTACATACGTGTTGGAGATTCAGGTACAATAAAGCTATTTCGGAACATTTTTCGAGTGTGTGGTCTGATAATTAGATAGGCCGTACTCACGATGCTGCAGCGTTTCGATGGACTGAGGTTTATACTGAATTCTTAAATAATCCAAATAGATATTTTTTATCTAATGGATATATTCTTGCTGGTAAGTGCTTTTCTTATTAGTAGATTAAATTTATACTTATCAATGTTTATTGTCGCATATGTAGATTCGTCATACCCTCTATGTCCCAACATCATTGTTCCTTACCCAACAACGGAAGTTAGAGGCGAATCTGCCGAAGCTATATCAAAAAGAAAATTCAACAAGGTACACTCTTCGGCCAGAATGACAATTGAGAGAGCATTTGGGAGACTTGCAGCACGTTGGAGATTTATCAGTAAGCATGTTTATATCAGAAAAACAAAGGATATATGTCAACTGATTACTGCAGCATGTATCCTTCATAACGTCTGTATAAATATCAATGATCCTGACTTCCCTCCGGATGAAGTAGATGATGATGATGATGTTGTTGAGGAAAGTGGTAATAGTAATGAAAATGATAGAGAGGGTAACGATGGTGGATGTTTAGCTGCAGGACGATCCAGAAGACAGCAATTGAACAGATGGTTTTCACAATAAAGAAAAATATTGACTAACAATTATTTATTGATTATTACGCATTTGATGAGCTAACAAAGCTAATAGTTCACTCATCTGAGCTTCTGATCTTCGGTATATGGCATTGCTCTCCCGCATTTCAGCTATCATATTATTAGCATTGGCGTTGTTGCTAGCAATATGCGTCTCCATGTACTCCCTCAACATTCTTTCATGACGGTCAAGCGCCCTATCGTTTACACGATTTTGAACTGCTTCCCAACCTAACTGTTCCGGGGTTAAGTTTACCTGTCGTGGGCGAGGAGGTACTGGTTGGTTAGGTGGTTGGCGAGGTCTAGGTGTTGACTCTTGACGAGGTCTAGGTGTCGGCTCTTGGCGTGGACGAGGTGTTGGTTCTTGCTGGGGGGGAGGAGAGGGTGATGGTTGTCGAAATGAAGGTGGTGGTTGGCGATAAAAGGAGGGTGACGATGGTTGATATGAAGGTGTTGTTTGACGAGGGGGAGACGATTGAGGTGGAACAGTTCTTCTTCTACTAGTGGGAGGTTCTAGGTCCTCGGACATGGAAGGTCGAACATGCTTAAAAGTTGATGATGATGGATGGGAAGAGGAAGAGGAGGGCAAAGGGTTTGCTTCTGCACTGGGAACAGGTACAGGTGGTGGAGCTGTATTATCCGTAAAGCGTCTCGTTTGAAAGGAGTAAATATGGGGTGGTCTAATTGTAGGATAATCCTGAAGTATTTCATCCAACTTGTCATATATCTCATCAGGGGCGAAGCCAGATTCTCCAGTTGTTGATCGTCTGGTGAATTCTTTCTTGTAATTCTCAACAAGACTCTTCCATTTACTCTTGATAGGCTCTAACTCGCGGGGCGGAACATTGGCATGTTGAGCTTTTTCATCATACTCTTTTTTCAAATTACGGTAAGCTTCTCCAGTCTCGAAGTCGCTTCCGGAACTTTCAAGAGTAGGTAAGTAAATGGCATAGCATTCGATAAGCAACATTGTTTCTAAAGATGACCATGAAGGACCACGTCTTCCTTGAGAACTGGGAGTGTCACCAAATGAAAAAACGCTGAACATTGTTAGGGAAGGTAAATAAAAAAATGAAATTTTATGAGAAAAATAAAATGAAGAATAAGCGATTGTGGATTTTTATATCTTGAAGCAGTCGGGTCATCTTAGTATTTTAATATCAAATTTTTACGTCATGTCATACTTGTTTTTACTTTTTTGTAATTTATACCCTCCCCCCCCGAGGGGGGTATAAATTACTAATTTGTAAATTGCCCAACCCCCCCATAAATGTTGGCTGGTAAAAAAAAATTTTAAAGTTTAAATTACTATTTTGAGCGAAATACTTTTGTTCCCAAAACGTGAAAAAAGTTTTGCTTGGGAACGGCCTTGGTCAACTTGACACCTTTTTGGGAAATGATTTCTTCTTCTGTGATGAGCTGCACATGTTCTCCAACGTCAGCAAAATCTGCTTTGATCTACTCTCCCCCAGATAGAACGCCAGGTTCAAGTTTGTTGGCAATGAATTCAATTATCCCTTTCATATTACCCCTGTCGACTTTGAAAAGATACGAAAGTGTATGGATGAATCGCGCTGCAATATCCCTTCTGATTTTAGTGGCTCGTTAAAAGGCATGAATTCAGACAACGTCCGGTCCATGTATCGTTTAGTTGATTGTATTGCTTGGCTACTGTATGTCGTTCCAACAATTGTTACGCCACATTTTCTGGATGCCAATACCACCAAGGCGTTTATAGCACTCTCTCGAGGCATTAAAGTCAGCTTACAATGGACGATAACTGAGAAAAATCTGGAAGAGATTGAAAGTATCAATTGAATATGTCACTAACTATTTTCTCCTTTATAGATCACTTGAGACATGGTTTAAATATCTGGATGTGTGCCTTGTCAAAAAAACTGTCGTATCAAGTATATAGTTACACAATATTATTTATATATAATTAGATGAACCACTGATCTTAATAAACATCTTTATCTTATCTTACTAAAATATATTATCGTAACTCCCTTAATACAAAACAATATCACGCACAATTTTCAGATCAAACATGTATCAATTAAATCATATCACCTATATCATCAGACGAATGGGGTAAGCTAAAACGATAGTCTTGTACAATTATCATGATTCTAATCTACTAAATATAGACCCTTGCGCTGTTATTCAGCACGTTCCTTGGAAAGAGCAATTGGTAAGTATAAGCGAATAATCCGGTCAACTCTGCATCATGGCGTCAATGCTGGCAACGTCCTAGAAACTCGTAATATATTTGCCTTCATCCAGTCGGCTGGTATCATCAATTTCTCAATTGGCCGCACCTCCATTGACAGACATGCCAATATTTTAGAGCACCCGTCAAATGATCAGCATCGTCCGCAATTATGGTCTCCCTTTTTAAACCACCCAGTTTCTTTGGTGTTTGGTTAACTCTACCAAAAAAATAAACCAAGATCCATCCTACGTATTACTAGACCACTGTCTACTTTTCTGGTTAAAGGCTCTCTTGCATTGCTTTGTTCGTCTTGAAGGAGATAGGCATATAGGATTCGCCAAATTTCACACTGATCAAACAATCAAATTTTCGGCAAAATTATGGTTCAACAATCAAGTTCTGATCTCCCATTTTTACAAGTCAAGCAATTCTTTGAGTTCTCGTGGTGGTGGGTACATGATGTTTAAGGCTGTACATCAAAACTTGTAGGTTTTCTTTTCTTTCTGTCGTGATTTGCTCATACTAACAGTTCTAAATGTGTAGGCAAAATCGTTCCGTCGAAAGATGGTACGTTTGTAAGGTTTTATTCTACTTCAGTTTCTGCTTTCGCGTGGGTTCTGGATCTCATTACGTATACAGTGCATCTATTTTACAATGAACAATTTTCGTTAAAACGGACATTTTCAGAACTTAAAAGTCGGATTTTTAGACCGGTGATTTTCTTATTTTTTGACAGAGAAATATAATTTATCGCGGGAAAATGTTTAACCGGGATATGTCCGTTGGATTTTTATGAATGTTTGCACTGTAAAACACCTCCCGGACATCTTTGGGTCTCCCCACTGTAAATGGCCAATTTTGTTTTGCCATCTGTAAAATATTTTGTGTGAAAAAAAAAATTCCGGCTCTATTAGTTTGTGGAGAACTCTCTAATAAAGAATGTAATAGAGCCGGATTTTAGATACCTGTTGAATTCTTCGAGGAGATAGCGTTTTTATTTCTTTTTGAAAAATCGGAGCCAAAAATTGTTCATTGTAAAATAGATGCACTGTATCATAATTTCACCTTGTTAAATTTTCAATTTTATTCTTAATTCGCTATTTTCATTCTCGAATTTCTCACCAGGGCGGTCGAAAAAAAAATCTATTCGGAACAGTCCCCAGGCAAGATATGGGGGCCTGAAACAAAACATCATGTGGAACTAATTTAACTCATTATCGTCAAAATATTTACAGGCAGTATTTGTAAACAAAGAAACAACCGATACGCCACTTTTTACGAAGAAAATCGTTTATTTTCTTCCAAAGTATAAACCATGCCTCCAAAAACGAACAAATCCTCGTCATGAACCTCAAACTTGTTGAAGCAGATTTCAAAAAAACTAAACATTCAAAATGAGATTTGCAAAAAGCTAGAATTACAAGAGGAACTTATAAAAAGATGCTCAGGAGATTACTAGTTTGAACGCAATAATCGAACAGCACCGCAATGAGGCAAACGATTCTCATTATCAGGAAGCCATTTCAGCAGCAAGCGTCCTCCGCACTGTTCCCATGCCAACAATATCTGAGAATGGCAATGATATCAAGAGAACAATAACCAAGACAGATATCATTAACGTGATCACGATCCTGAATAATAATGGATCAATTTAACCCGCTAATATTTAGGCGAACGTACGAAATGTGGCATATTTCAGGGTCAACTACGGGATTGATATCACATGTCAACAGAAATTTCCTGTTTGGTCCGCTTTACCTGCCGGCATAATTCAAACGATTAGAACATCATTGGATAAACGAGCTGCTGAGATGGGTGTTGCGATGTATCGCTGTGAGGGTAACTGGGGATCTTTATACCCTATCAAACGTTTCTATCCAAACAAAAAGACATACAAGAAACGTGACAAGGTCGCTTAAAGCAACGAGAACTTGAGTTTTGATGAGGTGCTTCTTGAGAGAGAAAATCGGCCGAAATGGGATATAGACGAATCCACTACCAGCCCGATAAACTCACGCGAATACTTCAATTATTTAAGGCCAACCGAATTTACTTTTGATTTAGAGTAGAAGAAGGCATCATAGCCACAAAAAATACGACAGAAACAGCAAAAAGAAAAGAAAAGAGAAGAAAAGAGAAGCAAAGAGAAATAACAAAGGTAATACATATGTAGACTAGGTACAATTCACCAAAGAAATCACTTTTTCAGATTAGTTATTGGCAACAAATCCTGTTAATACTATCGTTGAGTTTGTTTTCTTTTCATATTTTAAATAAATATTTATAACATCCCTTTCTTTACTTAAATAATGAAAACTTATTTTGATTGATTATCATTGAATGCCTATAATATAGATGTATTTGGTATAGTGCTAAGCTAAGTTCTTTATTCATAAAGTTTGAAATCTGTCAGATGTTAGGTACTAAATAACATTAATTGTATAAAGAAAAAACACTCGATGGATTGAATGGCAGTATCTGAATACACTTACTTTTGCTTGATGGCTGTCAGGGAAAACTTTAGTTTTCAGTGTCTTTTTTAAACTGAATACACTGAATCCGAAGGTATTACAGATACCTAAAATTAAGTTAATTTTCAGAGTAGGTTTAGTTTTTTTATTTACTGCGTATGTGCAAAAATGATTTTTGGTGCGACTCGGAATTTTATTATTTGACAGGACAGAAAAAAATGGTGCGCGGTATGTTTTTTTTTCAAACAAAAAGTATGGTTCGTGTATAATTAGCCATAAAAAATAATCGCTTACTAAACTTCGTGATTGCTTTTTTTGAGTCTATGTAACTATAGTATTTTTACTATAAACGGAGACTTTTCCAAAGCAAACCTCCGCTTCTGTAAAACATTGACCTTCGTTTCGCTGCACCAAATTTGTGACCTTCATGTCGTTACCTAGCAAGGCTGTAGACATATTAGTGCTAACAAAGGTTTATCCATGCTGATATGTACCGTTTGTGACATAAGCTTAACAATAAATTTCATAGCAAGAACTATAAGTATATGACACCACAAGTCTAATTTAGTACGTCTAAGGAATACTTAAAATTTAGTTTTAAGCAAAGAGAGTTCAGAAGACAACATTTATTAGAACAAGATAAAATTAGCGACTATGCAGTAATCGTATATATTTTTGGTTACTCAATAATATCTTCAAAAAAAGCACTAAAGATATGAACAGTGCAGACAGTCCTTTATATACATAATCGTTTATTACATTTATTAATAAGACATCTGGTAAACAGTCTCAAACTACTCCTATAGTTCTTTTATAATTTTACCCTACCTTAAAACACACCATTAAGCACAAAATACAGAGGTCATTGATATATGTCGCATGATCTAAAGCAACATCAGCCTCTGATCTCACTTTGATATGTAAAGTGTATGTTTTTTAAACCACCCAGAGCTTTATCAACGTGATTTATATTATGGAATCCAACGTTAGCTTAGCATTACACTCCAACCAACGTTTTAAAACTTACAGAAAAGGAGGTCTTTCTAGTTATTTCACATAATGTACAAAATCTTCAGGCACCCTTTGATCAGATCGTCAACAACCCTGTATATCTATCATCTGACGTAATCTTCCTCAATGAAACATAGAAATCTCCAGCTGATAATTTTGAAGTTCCCGGATTTAAATTGGTTTCGGCTATTGATTACATAGATAGTATACGTAAGTAAATGAGCAGTTACTGTTATAACTTTAGCTCGATATTAGAAGATTGATATTAGCCATTTGGTAAATAGTTTAATGCATACAGCCACACAACAACCCCGGTATTGATAAGCATGCGTATGCAGACCACATGTGACCGCTCGTTTGACCAAACCATCAAGTACCAGCATGAGACCGATCCTGAATCAGCACCATAGAACTACGGCCCAAGATCCAAACAATACACGACATCATCCTCGAACCGTAACCCCGGCATAGGACATCCCCTCAAGATCTTACCCAACATAATTTATTCTAAGAAGATAGTCCTTCAAACTATCTTACTTTTATTCTAATTACCCAAAATTACTTAGAGACGTACAAATATTTATCCGATGTCTTGTATACTCCTATCGTTATTATTATATAAACCTTTAGCTTTACTACCTCATCTCGTCTATTTTCCTACAACCCTTATGGTCGTATCTTGTACTTAGGTTAGCCTTGTAAGTACAAAGAAACTTTTCCTTGTACCTAGTAACATCCGGCTAATTTCAGAAAGAAACTATTCGTTTCCGTCGTGTTCTTATACCTTTCATTTCTTTGCGTAAGGCCAAAATAGGGATAGAGGTATTTGTTTGCGTAGGTGTAAGCAATAAAAAATTTTTATTGAAGCAAAAGCAAAAACAAAATAAAAAAAAATGAAATAAAAATAATGGGCACGGAAAGTCAAAAGGAAACGGAGGATAGTCAACTTAAAAATTTTCGAAATGATGTCATACGCTAGTATATAGATTGGGGGGCGGGGACAAATCTTTTTTACAAAATAAGCGATTTGTACTTGAAAATACTGTTTGCTTAGGGACGGCCTACGACGTATGTCGATATCCAAAAACGTAATTGTGCGGGCATTTTCTGCTAGTTCTAATGCAGTTGTTTATCCAATTAACCCGTGCGTGCAAGGATCCTTATTTGTAATGATCTACTGGATTGGTGCGAACGACTTTAATTCGTATGTCGCAATTTTCAAGCATGAACTCCGCAACTCTAGCCTTCTTAAGTTCTAGACACTCAAAGTTCGTTGTCAAATCATCCACAACAACCTAAATTATTATATAAGCGTGATCATAAACAAACCGTATCAAATAAAATTTATGTCCTTCATCTAGTAGGCCAAATAGGATAATGACGCCCAGATTTGTTTTGGTTTCTAAGTATATTTCTTTTGAGGACATCGTCATTCGCTTTTTTCATTCGAGTGCCGTGTGGTAATTTAAGTTTGCGACATTACCAGCCTGTTTTAATTTCCAACTTTTCAACTTCAAACAAAAAATATCGCTTAAATATTCAATACTATAAGCCCTATATTGAAGAGTTCGCTCATTTGTAGGCAAAACGTACTCCATTACAACGTTTTTTGAAGTGGCCATTACAAATTTAATGTCGTTCCTTTTTCACACATTGGAAGATCAGTCAATTTCTTTAAAAGAACGCATATTCGTTTGACATTAAAAGGTACTTCTTGTCCTTTTGTTTCATAGTATTTCTGCTACAGTCTTCATAAGAAATGCAGGTAAAACTAAAACATTTTTGAAAATATATAAAAGATGACCAAAGCAATTGACCTGGTTAAGTCATTTTCAAATAGTTAGCAACTGATGTTCGAAAAAGTTCGGCAATCTGACGAACCATTTCATAACATTGTCCAATGGAGGGTGGACGGTATTTATATATTATATATGACCGCTTTTCGATACCTTTTTTTAGTTTTTAAAAAGTTTTATGTCATCTTTCTGTCTATTTTAAGAGATCGGTGCTTTCCAGATCGTAAATTGAAAGTCAATAGCCGAATTTTTTGTATGTCAATATCAAAAAAAAAAATTTGGATTAGGTTTAACTAGAATAATTTGGATTCCGAACACAATTTTTAGGACTAAAAATAATGACATCATCATTTTACGTTGCGCAGCAATTTTCGTTTTTATTTTTTCAAAAAGCGGCGGGTCATTTTTTTTTCTCTTTCTCCCATTAACGATTCTTGGAAAAATGCTCTCGTATATTCTTCTTGACGAGTAAGTAAAACGAAATCAGCAAACATTTATGCTATAAACATGATTCTAATGTTGACATTTAATAGATTGTTGTGTGAATTAACACATTCCGCGTTTCTCTTTTTGGCTTTTCCCTGGTTTTGGACCAAATTTTTTTTCTTTTTCCTTTGGGAAAAAATGATTTGGTTCTTTTCGTCTTCTTTGCTTCCTGTCGTTGATGACAAAAAACAGGTTCGTGTAGCACCCGAGCCAATCGGTGATGTCTACGTCTGTTTTGGTAGAGGTATCATACCTCTTACCACTTTCAAAAACAACCCTGAGCTTTTTGCACAGACTACTCCTTTGCCTGTTGATTCTCCTGTTGTTGCTCTTCCTCCCGAGGATTCTGCTGGTCGACCCTTTTCTTCCGTTCCGTCTGTGCCAACTGTCACAAAGAAGGAACAAAAATGTTACTCTTTGGACTGTGCTTGCGTGGTGGGCATGCCATGTCTCAGTGATGGTTCTTTGCCTTCTTTTCCGTCTGTCCTTCCCGTCCGTTCTCGCGTTCCCTCCTTTGCTTTCGGATGTGAAGCTTTAACACAAGCCTGGCTTGTAAATAATTCTGCTTCTGTTTCCTGTTTTTCGTCGTCGGTTGCTCGTGGAGATTTATGTCGCTCTGCCGTTGCTCCCTGTTTGTCCGTTTCTCGTCTTGCGGTTTCTTCCCCAATTGGGGATAACGCTATTCCTGCGGTTTCTTCCTCCCTTGAGGATAACGCCATTCCTGCGGTTTCTTCCTCCCTTGAGGATAACGCTTCTTTTTCTGTTGGTCCTGTTGCTTCGGCTGGCTCAGGTGTTTCTGGTGGTTCTCCACCTTTGCCTTCTTTGACCTCGGTTCCTGTTTCTTCGGACTGTTCTTCCGTTCGTTCTTCTCCTGTCTTGTCTCCCGCTTGCGCTTCTCTTGCTTGGCCTTCCTTTCCCCCTTCTCCAGTGGTGTCTTCCGTTCCTACTTCTTTCGGTTGGGATTCTTTTCCTGCTTCTCCTGTGTCGGCTTCTGCTTCTGCTTCTCCCGTCTGTTCCTCGGCGCCTGGGTCCCCGGGCTTGTCTTTCGGTTCTTTTGCTTTGTTTGGGGTTGAGATCACACCTCCCTCCTCTCCTTCCCCCCGTGCGACTTCTGTTGCCTCTCCTGGTCCTTCCTCCCCTCCTCTTGTTTCTTCTCCTCGTCTTGTTTCTTCTCCTCGTCGCCCTTCTTCTCCTTGTGAGGAAGAAAATAATCGTGATCGTAAGAGAATTCGAGCTCGAGGTTAATTTGTTTTTTAAAAAAAATAAAAACTAGTCCGAAATATATTCTTTTTGTAGTATCTTCACAGTAGTTACCAAATAAAAATAAATCAGGGCTCTTGCTTTAAACGGATATCAAAATAATTGATATCGGGTTAAATGAAACGTTGATAAATCAAGTTGTTATAATTTTAGAATTAAATGAATTTGTGGCTCTTTTCCTTCTTTACGTTTGAGAAGCTTTCGATACGGAATGAAAACTTGAACTACCGTTTTATCCCTTTGGCTATAGAAGGTCATAAATGAGCAGTAAAAATCCCGATGATGAAAAGTATAAAAACAGCAAGGATAATCGGAATATTAAAATCACCCAAGTTATTCTAAATCGTACGTGTTGTCCCAAAATAACTGTGGAAAGGTCAACGAAAATGCTTTCTCATGTTGAGAAATGAAGATCTGTTGATATTAAGTCTTCTTTTTGTCTTTATTCAATTACGGGTACAGAAAAAAAAAGCTAAATGCGTATTGGACTGATATCAGAGAGCAGGTGCACAAATATTCGAGTAAGGAAGATTCTGTATGTCGTAGAACATGCTGGAGTTTTTTGGCTGGATGACGGAATCACATCTAGCCTAAAATATTGATATTTTTCTGGATGCTGCAAACAGGACCAAAAAAAAAAAAAATAGTGAAGCCTTTCCATTCATTGATCGCCAACAAACGATCAACATCCTCCTGCCTAGAAGTCCTCATATGCTCCTCCTTCTACACAGCAACGACAGCAGTTGCTAATCTTTTCAAGGATTTTTGGGTTGTTGATTTGGCTATTCGAAATGTGCCGTCGATTGCATCCAATTCTACTCTATAAGCCAGTTGTAGAATGGCTGTTGTTACTTTCTGGAGTGGCGTAAAGCCTATGACTTTAGCCCCATCATACTTTTGCTCAAAGTAGCTATCATGAGCCGTCACTGATTCGGTGATTCCCAAGAAGAGACGTTTCCGCATTCGGTATCTTCTACGAAAGGCAGCGTCGGAATATCTTGGCTTTTCCGAAAAGTAATCGTTCAGAAGCTTTTCAAGTCTAGTTGTACGTCCTCTCTTGACAACTCGACGTTTTTTGATTACACGAGGCTTTTCTTTTTGACTTTTTCATAACCCTTAGAAAATCTTTATAGCAGTAAGATGCATTTCAAAATCCTTTGCAGGGTCATTGCCAAATAATCTTTCGAAAGTCAACATTGCAGACATTGTGTGAATGAAAATGAAAAAAGTGAAAAAAAGTAAAAAAAAAATATATGACAGGCACCGAAATTTAATTTTTTTTTTAACAAACGACTGTGGAAATTTCAAAAAAATAAATCTCTTCATGACAAAAAAATAATAAATTTACAAAAACATTTAGCAAACCGCTGGAATGCTCTTATGGGGTATTTATAGTTACGTGTCTAGATCGCATCGTGGGTTTTGTCACCAAACCGATATAAAAACCGGTTTTATTTTTTAAGACATAACCAAAATCCTAAAATTGAATTAACAGTGACGTATTCTATTCCACAGTATTACCATGTGCAGTATTATCACCTAAATTCAGACAACTTAAAATTATTTTCAGTCAAGCTCAAAACAAATTCAGACAAAAAAGAATATTTTTCGACAAGGGTAAAAAAATTAATAAGACAAAGGGAAATTATTTTCAGAAATATGATAACGAAACTTCATACAAGTAAAAGATCAAACTAGTTTTGATTCTTTGTCAAGGTAATTGTCCCAGTATATCTCAGAGTTTTGTATATAACCATAACAATCGTCCGTGGTAATAGTCTCACGGGCTGCCTTGACTCTTGGGTTAAAGTCCTCAAAGTAAAAAGGGAGTTTCTTTTGATGTGCTTCTTGATCTTGGATCAGTATTCTTCAATAGGAATCAAAAATGATGAATATGGGGGCAAAAGTAAAGGCTTATAGCCTCTACTTTTGATTGGATCAACAACCACATGGGAAGGATGAATTATTAAATTACCCATGACGATATAAAATCTAACTTTGTTGTGTCTGTCTAATACATCCAGGACATTTCAAACAAAAGTTACATCATGCTACGCAGTCGTACCCCTTTTTGGCAATTTCTTTTTTTGTGTCATCGGTTTTATCCTTTCTTTTTTTGCTGGCTGGTAAAGGAAACTCTTTCTCAGTCTTAGCTACATCAGCTAGCTACAACAGCTCTACCTTGGAAACATTGATGATTCCAAAAAACAATATACACCCAATAATGCTCAAGTGATCGTCCTTTTGAGTTGGAACAGAACCAAAGGCAGGTGTTCCATTGACGGACCAGGCTTTACTTCTGATCTGGTGCGCGTTCAAACCGTCCTCATCCATAAACACGCAGCTAGTCTTGAAGTCAATCACAGCTGCTTTCGAAGCGGTTATTACGTTAAATCGAAAATCCAATGTTCTGTTCTCATCTATTTCCATCGTATAGACATGTCATTGTTTTAATGAAAGTCGTATCTTTTCCACCATATTCTTTCTCAATTCAATTTCGGAACCGCTAAAGCCTTCAAAAACAACACAGTTACTATCTTAATATGTTCGTGGTAATACAACGGTTTTGTCCACTAACTCGGTAGGATACTTAGTTAGCTGTGCCGTAATCTCCTGATTCTTTGCTTGCTTTGACCAGCTATTTAAAAAGGCTTTCTTAAACCGCCGATAGTAATCACGGTTCCATCACTTTTATTGCATTGTTTCAATAATTTATAGGCAGTAGAGCGTGGGATAAAACAGGTTTTGGCATGTTTGTCATAAGCTTAAAAAAAAGGTCTAATAATAACGGGCCCATAGGCATTATCATCTGTTGTTTGATGTGAGCTTAGGTTGATTTCACTGTTTTCCGCATCATTCTCAACAGCTTTCGATGTTGTTCGTGAACTAGCTCATGATCTAATTATTGGATATTCTGACCTCAAGACCCTCAAAGGTATCATCGATACCGCCTCCAAGGAGGTTCGCATTCCAAAGAGCTTGGACTCTACGGCTGCCATGACAACTACTGTAGATTCTGTATGCTCTATCTCGTCTTCGTTGCATCTTCCTGGTCTCACCATGCGTATGTTCATATCAACGGTTCCCCTAATACCCTTGCATTCATATCCACACCTCCGAATGTTGCTATGGAAGAACTCTTGCCTGTCGCCTCGGGTATTGTTGAGTTCAACAACGATGAATTGGAAACGGTTAAATTAGCTAATTTAAATACTTCAAATGTTTATAATAATAAAGGTCAGCATATCGCTTTTTACGAGTATTTACTTAAGTCCCCAACATTATACCCTATCTCACATTCGTCTCCAAATCTTTCTAGTATCCAGTCTCCTGCCATTTCGCCAGTGAGCTCTACGGCTGAACCTGTTTAGACTTGGCATCTTCTATCGGTGATACCCTCTCTGGTGCGGAAACTAGTATTCGAACTTTTCGAGCTTGGACCGATCTTGCGCCAGTTCGAACGAAGCCCGAACCGAGTTTTTTTACTCGAGCTTGGGCCAGTTTATTTAGGATCGAGCGAGTATCGATCGAAGCTCGCTCAGCTAAAAAGTCGTTAGCAGTCACTTTAAAGTTAAGGTCCTTGAAAGACTACTGATGGCATTTCCCCTTGATTTTAATCTTTTCTTGCCTTAAACATTTTTCTTTTTTTATGCTCCAATAACTCCAACTAAAATGCTTTATACTTTTATTTAGTTGTACAACCAACAAACACATTTAGCATAAAAAATGATACATTGTTCCACGCCAAACCCAACTAAGCCAAATTTTTACGGCAACCACAGTAACACGACGTAACAGAATTAATTTAAACTTTCATGTTCACAAATCCAACTGTATTATATTTATAGATGCAGTAATAGTTTGATTTAAATATCCAAATTTGGAGTTAAGGCTGGTGAAAACAAAAGTTTTTTTTTCTTTTTCCAACTTCTATTTCAATAAATATCAATTTTAGTATCATAACTTTTGTAATTAACATCATTTTGACGTGCACTTTGTGTAATAAAAAGGGCGAGCGAGTTCGAGCTATCGTATTTGAAGCCGAGCCGAGCTTAAGAAACTTCGAGAGACCTCGACCAGCAAAAAAACGCATTCGAGCGAGCTTCGACTCGAACACGATCGAAGCTCGGTCGAGAGTTTCCATCTTCATTCCGAACACTAGCGGAAACTGATACACTGAAAGGTCTGTTGAATGAATACTAGGATTGTTTTGCGGAAAAGGCTTCTTCTGTTACGCCATTGGCTCAACACCACATCAGGACTGGTGACCATCGACCTTTATCACAACTACCCCACCGAGTGGCCGCAGCCGAAAACGACGCCATCACAGGTCTATTGGAAGAAATACTCGAGCAAGGCCTTATTCGAGAAAGCGACAGTCCTTGGGCATCCGGTGTCGTGTTAGTCAAGAAACTGGATGGTATACAGTGCGCGCCAAAAGTGTCCCAATGTTTTAAATTTTTGGCTTTTCATAATGACATCACACAAACTAATGATTGTTTTGGCCTCAAAATTACATCATAAGTACTTTCACATGTCCGCTGTAACATCCAAAAATAAAAAAATTGTTAGCTCTATTTGGAAACGATTTACAGCGACTGAACATAATTACATCATTGGGACACTTTCGGTGCGATTTGTTTTTTGTTTGTTTTTTGCTTTCTACGCCATAAAACCGAATAAAAATTTTTCTTAAAAAACTATATAAATAGCTTAGCTGTTCAGTAACCTCTAACAGTATTTTTTTTTAAAATTTTTTTGTAAAATTATTCTTCGACATAAACATGCGACAGATTTCAGAATCCAAGAGAAACAATGTAGTACAATGCTTGTTTAATGGTTTCAGTGCCCGTGAGACTGCTTCTAAAACTGGAGTCAGCAAAAGTACTATCAACAGAATTAGTCAGGTTACACTGGGTCTTAAGAGCAAGCCGCGTATTGGTCGTCCCCCCAAAGTCACAAGCACGAACATAGACTATATCGTT